TCCGTTGATGACTGAACAGTACAACTCATACTCTGGTTCGTTGCGGATGATGGGGCGTGTCCGCGATTACGCTTGGCGCTGAGCCAACCTCTTTTTCAACAAACGACAGGACTACCATATCGTTCGTACCAGACGTTTCCAGCAGTTGGTCTCCTTTATCGGAGACAGCAATTGGCGGAGCACACATCTGGCGGCGTCGACACAGACACGCTCCAGTCATTTCTTTTGTTCCGCAAGGGAAAACACTGTAAACAAGTGCACAGGTTCGCCATGGATCTCCCTGAATCCTATAGACACATTTGCTCGCGTGGACAGACATTACGCACAAATTGCACCATCCCTTCACCTCTGCGCGGACCTCAGTGCGCGGCGCATCCAAAGCGTGATCGGCGCTAAACGAACCATATTCTGCTCCTGCTCCACCAGAGGATACGTTTTTCATGCATTCCTGGTTCATTCGAACACGCTCACTTGAAACGGTACGGGTTTTCGCCGCAGACTGGAGTGTTCCGCCAAAGAAATCCCCAAGCGAGATCTCATGAATCCCGAGAGCTTCAGAAACAGCTCAAGAGGTTTTTAGAGAAGAGAAAATCTTTAAACACTCGAAACCGTTCTCAGATTTGTGAAATGTTGAGTTACAAAAAAAATATATTGATTCAAACCTGTTCAGTTGAAATCACTCCCCAACGAATCCTTATGGCAGATTTCTCTGTGATTTTTGCGACCTTCATAAACGTTTCAGTACTTTTAGGAAGTGCAAACCTTCCTCTACACGAATACGGTCTCCTCTTCCCCACAGGTCCGCTTTTGAGGAAGTTAATCGGTCGCTTTCAAAGACACCCCGACTTTGTCTGAAAGTTCCGGCTCCAATTGCTAGAAATGAGCGGAATTTCTCACAGTCACGCTGCAATTACATACCGCCATTTCTGCGTACAGCTATTGCACATCTCGGCTTGAATGCATTCTTTAGGCATTTCTTTTTTGGTTTTTTTTTTCTGTATGCCGCTTTTGTTTTTCGGTTGTAGCTATGTCTCCCGAGCTAACTCGCATATGTATGCTGTCGTTTATCGCCTACTCATCCCGTTTTGATTACAAACGCTTGCACATAAGTAAATCAACTCAACTTAGGTAGGACTGTTTATATCTATTTTTTATATATAATTGTTTATATCTAATTTCAGGAATAGGTACGTTCAAACCAGTAAACATGGGGGGGGGTCGGTACCGTAACCCCAAAAAGGGGGGGGGGGTCGTACAGGCTCGACCAAAATCCCCATCGAATGCTGTGCCGCTGGTGACGCTGGTGAAGCTAGATCGATATGCATCCTCTCTTCGGCACTGCCGCTGGCGTACGCTGGAAGCGCTACGCTACGCTGCCGCAAAGTATAAACGCAGCCTAATTAAAACAACGTCCAAACCGCTGCAAGAGCATGCCAAACATCATGTAGTTGGTCCGGCGAAAATTCTGTTAAGACGACTGCTTATTAAAATACTGCTTGTAGGTTCTGTTCCGCTAATTTCCCTTTCCGGAAACGACAACGCGCGGCCGCACACATCTTTGATGACTTGGAACAAACTGATCGAACTTAGTTGGGAATTTTTGATATCCCACGTATAGCTCGGACTTAGCACCGTTCGATTATCATCTGTCTGTTTCGCACCCTGCAAAACTCCCTGGTAGGGAATTGGCCGAGCCGCTGCTGAAAAACAACTTGCCCAAGATTTTCGCACCAATAAGACAACCGTCTACACGAGAGGAATCATGGTTGCCAGATAAATATTGGCAAGGTCAAAGACTAAAGTGGTCCTGCGGATTGTTTGCTTGACTTGAATACTGATGTCAATAAAAAAAATGATTTGTTAGGTGTAATGCGAGATAGCTCGCGTAAGACTTCATGTACACTGCGTCCCAAAAGTAACATCACTGTTCCGACCCGCATAAATTTCACAATATCCGCCCTATCAAAACGCTTTCAAAAAGCCTCTAGATTAGACAACGTGTAATTATCAGTGCGAGTTGTGCATGCCAACATCGACTGAACTAGACTTTCGCAGAGCAACATAAATTTTTCATACCACTTCCTAGGAAAATTTCTCTTTGACAATGTCCTAAAGTCTATAGTTGCAGTACCATTATTTTTCCCACTTCATCTTTGCTGCTCTCTGATCAAGAAAAGCGCTGTACTTTGAGAGAAGCTTCGATTCCGGAACGTCGTGCCCGAAAAGAAAGTCTACTTTGAGGCTTAACGTCTTGAAGGAGACTGTTCGGCGTGTTATGAATAAAACTCCTGTTCACAGGAAGGAGTAATGAGTTAGGCCACTGTTCTAAGCAGACAACCATCGCGAAAACTCTATTGGCTATGCTTCGAAGATGTTGCCGAACGACTGGAGTGCGGTAGCTTTTTGGGCCTGCGGTGCCTGGGCTGCTTCTGTATTGTTTTTCCAGTTTGTTTTCTCGCGGTCGTATTTCTGATGGATGAGAAACAAACTGCAACGGAAACGGCCGATTCCGCTGGCACGACCTGAGGGAAGACAAGTTTCATTTTTCCGGGCGGAACTTCAGTGGATGTGGTCTCATGGTCTGGGCTGCCATCGCATCAATGGAACGTCTGAAACTGTGCTCCGTATGAAAAATTTTTTTCCCGGGCTTCATCTAAACAGTCATGCGACCGCACGTCCTCCTCCCTTTCTGGTGTAGAAACATAGCAAGAAAAGTTTTCTGTGTTTCGTGCAAGAAAATGGTTTCATCGTGTCAGCCGAAACATTGGATGCGTGATCAAACTGCTCTTTGCCTGCCTTGGCCAGCGAGTGAGCCCTGACTTACACCCCATGAACGAGAAATTTTGTTGAGAGTACTCCTATTAGGAAAGTAGACCAACAACGAGACTTAGGCTTCATCGTAACTAAGGATCTCAGCTTTGATTCGCACTGTGAAAGCATTGCTCGCAAAGCCACTACAGTGGTCTACAAACTCTTCAGGGTTCTCACAACAAAGAATACTGCTGTGCTGTTGCGTGCTTTCAAGACGTATGTTAGGCCAATTTTGGAGTACGGCACGCCTGTATTCAACCCCTATAAAGTGAAAATGATTAAAACACTAGAAAGAGTTTTCAGAACTCTTTCACACGGGAAAGTTATGGTGAGAGCTTTGAGTTTTCCTCTTATGATTGGTATTCCTGTCTAGGCCATTTTGAAAGGAACAGGATCTGACAGTTACAATCTGCGCCTATAGGAGGAAGAAATTCGGACCTTCATCCTTTTCCATACAGTAAGAATCCTTCATGGACAGTGTGGTGCTCAGTCCTGATGCATTTTCGTATTTCTTGCGCCATCAGGTCCACCAAGGGGAGCGCCCCTCAAGCCAGATTGGTGCCTCTTGCCAAGCACAATATACGGTCGCGCTTCTTCACTATAAGGGCTGGTACAGACTATTTTAAGCTTAATAGACATAAATCATTTCCTGCTAGCGTCAAAGCTTTCTCAAGATTGATCGATCGTTATATGGTTCCGTAGAGACTGAATCCTTCACTCATCGTATGCTGTGTCTTTTTCTCCTTAATCGCGTCCTTTTTTGTTTTTTCAGTGTTTTTTTGTGTTGATGTTGACTCGGGGTTGTTGTTTTTTTTAGCTCAATCTAGTTTTTTTTTTTGCTCCACACATGAGTGCATCCTTCAATGTCATAAATAAATGAATTACATAAATTAAATAAATAAAAAATAAAAATAAAATAATAAATAAGAAGTATAAATAGTTGATATATGTATTTATAATATAGTAGGTATAGTAATACTATAGATAGTATATATATACTATATTATAGTACTATAGATATATAATAATAATATATTAGTAATACTAGTAGCGTATGAGTCTATATATATTGTAGATTATATAATTATGAGTATATAGTATTGTATATTATATACTAATATATTATTCTACATTGTGTGCGTGGTTTCATGGTACGGCAAGATCTATGGCGAACAATGCACAACCTGACAAATATCCAGTGAAAGCTCAACGAAGTCAATACATTGACGCATGGCAACATGTCGACCGAAAGCTGATTTGAAACCCCCTATTCGGAGGAGAAGACAGACCGCAATTTTTCACTTATTCAGCAATGAAATTGGGCCTTGCACATAGATTACAGATTAACAACATTCGTACGTGGTACACTTGTTGTTTTTATGAATCGATTTGTTTAGTGGAACTATACTTTTGGGACATTGTCAAAGTGAGAAATTTTCAAAAAAAGAAAGAAAATTAAAGTTGCTCTGGAAAGTTAGTTCTCGGTGTTGGCATGCAAATTGGCACTGGTAATTACCACATTTTTTATCTAAAGGCTTTTTCGAAAACGTCGTGTAGGGCGGGATATTGCGAGATTTATGGGTGGAACTATACTTTTGGGACGCAGTGTACAACTCCATACTATTTCTCAATAGCTGCAACTATTGGTGACACCTCTACTCCCCCGCGACCAGCGTGGAGAAGGAATTTCTTGAAAAGTGGTAGGAAGTTGGGGAAAAATGTAGGAAGGTGATCGGATAGAGAAGGGGGGGGGGGTACCAGAAGAGGGACTTTTCCTCTTGGACTCCTACCGAGGCCGCCATATTACACTATTTCCTACCCGTTACTTCATCGTTAGCTCACTGGACTGCGTACCTCAACTGAGCTAGCGCCCACACATTTGTCAAGAGGGTAGCCCGCGAAAGCCTAATATCAAATCTTTATGTACAACATATTTACTCCACAGCAAAATGTCAATAAAATGCATTTGCTATCATAGGGTGACTTTCAAAAATTCATCGTGCAGTGAGATTGGAAAAGTGAGATTGAAGGAACCGAGTCGCTAATGCCCTACTATGCACAAAAGGAAGAGTGAGGCAAGTTTTGTCCAGCAAATCGACAGCTGTGTGTGAAACATAATGAGATCTAAGTGGAAGCAATGGGCTGAAAAATCGACTTCGACTGCAACACTAAAGAAAAAAGAGAATGCACTAGTCAGTTGCAGGCTTCAAGAACGTAGTCATGGGGTTCGCTTCGTACGTGCTATCCATCAGATCTTCATTCTCGTCAACCAACTCTTAAAAAATGTTTAATTGTTCGAAGACATCTTCTTTGCATCACACGATGTCTCCGGCTTCATATTTTGCACATTTTGAGTTAACTCTGACAACATTCAGATTTATGCAACTCAAAGTGATTGTGTGTAGAAAAAACTCTGGTACTCACCTGCCACACCAGAATAGCATTTGTGTGAAGGAGCGTACATGGCGAGTAGTAGCAGAACATATATGTTCCACATTCCAAACGTTCCAGTGAAAAATGCTGACGTGCTGTGCGTCAACACACTATCTTCAGGCTCATCAGAATGGATTTGAGCTTCTCCATACTGAAATATTCGCTTAAAATACTGTGGAAAATGAGCCAGATGCCGGTGCTGTCGATTAGCATGATACTCTAATGTGTAAAGGTGAAGGCTTCGTTGTTCTATAGTACTAAAACCCTTGAAGGCAAAAGGCACAATAAATCTCCTAAGCATGTAAGACGAATGCGCCGATCACCAGAGGGAACCGCGTCCTTGAGCAGGCCCTGCATGGTGTCTTTTCCAACTAACGGTTTCTAATCATCCCAACTAGGCTTAACATGACCACCCGTACTCCCACCAACAACGACGCGCCAATAATGGCCGCACCGATCGGCAATTGATCCCGATCGGATCAGCTGTTCCCACCCACAATGTGCGGCTGAATGCCGCTTTTTTTCTATTTCTGGGGTTCCTTCTACAGATGATAATTCTTATTGGTGACGAAAACATCTCTCTTCGGCACACTGTAAAGTTTTCTTGCGAGGAGTGCCCGTTTTGGATATTTAGACTTCTACTTTTTTGGCCTTTTTCGCTTGATTCCCGGGAATCTTCGAGAAAGTGTCGTCACTGAGCCCCTAATTCTGTAGAGGACCTCCGTTGATATTGTTGTGAAGTTTGCAACCGCTTGAAATAATGTTTTCATTCCTTGCAGTAGCCGTGATGTGAACGTGCCCTTTTCACATTGAGCTTTGACCAGGATGATGATTTCAGGCGTGGAGTCGTACAAAAACCTCATTGCAGCAATTAATAAGGGTCCAAGTTCGATGTTTTCGTCCCATTCCGTCCCGATTGCTTTGTTGTCGTAGTACTCAGTGCCTCTGCTCCCGTTTTCTGCATAAAACCCAAATTGTCGCGCCAGTTGCCTTTAAAAGGGCGTTCTTGGGAGCCATGGGTGTGAAACAATTCCGCACTGCTCTACATTGCTCCAAGAGACGACAACGGCTATTAAATGTTGCGCGAAGACTCAGTAGTATGGAACAGATCACCAGCCCGCTCCCGAGGCAAACACTGTGAGCATGTGGGATCATAGGCCCGTAGATCGAGGTGAACAAAGATGGGGCCCGATTCGCTGAGAGAGAAAAAATAGAGAAAAAACATCAGACCACAAAATTAGTATACCTGTTTCATTATATAACAAGAAATCGTTAGTCCTGCACATAACAGCGTGAGAATCATGAGAAACTTGAAACGGTATATGATAGACTCTACCTAAAACCGCTGCAAAAATAGATACAAGCAGAAACCTTAGTATACAATAGTTGCCAAGGAAAAAAAATCACCAGTACCTTTAAACGTCTATTTTCGCAGTTTTTGTATAACTGAGCGGAACGTTTACTTTTGATGGTGAACCAAACTTTCCATATTTTGCCGAATAAGAA